CAAGTGGATCCCCACTGGGAAACACACTACCTGGGTTAGATTTCAAACTGGCTAATAAGGTACAATATAGGTAATGGGTGACCCTAGAATGTCTTAGTAGAAGTAGAGCCATCGATTTTTAAAATTAAACTTATTGGAGTAACACCTATTAGTAACATTATATAAATTTCAGGTGTAAAACTTTATAATACAACATCTCTATACTCCATTGTGTGATCACCACCCAAAGTGTAAAAGAAAATTGGACTAAGCAGTCTTGAAAAGATATTTTCCATTGCTTCTTTCTGCAGCCTGGAGCTTACTTTTGACTCTTAGGGATAAGACTTAGATGGTTCCAAAACGCTGTCATAACAAAGAAAGTAAAGTAAAAAACACTCACTGAAGTGTTTGTTCGTTTTAATTGGAAGTAGTGAGTGCTTTGTGCTATTTTCTATTTTATTATCCAAGCCAGCCTCAACATATTCATTTATTTTCTAGTGATTTCTAAATCTGTTATCTGACAGGTTTGTGGCTGCTTTTCTAGTTTCTTAGCCTAGACTTCATTCAAATCACTGCAAATCCCTAACTTTAAAACTCTGTTTTAGGGACCAAAGCATACCGAGCTATATTTTTCTTCTTATTTTCTTCAAAGCCTAATTGGTGCTTTAGTTTCATTACTTGCACTAAGATAACATGCATTGAGACTTTTGGTAGGATAATTGGAAGCATTCAATTCGGTCTGTCACATACATCCTTGTGCTGCAAGCTCTCCCACTGGTACTACACTGCTATTTATGAAACTGTTTGGTGAGTGACCATAGCAGATCACGCAGACACCCTTAGAAAGTCTCATATCAAAGATGCTGCTATTTGCTAACAAAAGGTAAAAAAAAAAAAAAAAAAAAAAAGGAAAAATAAAGAACTCAAGATTCAGTTTGAAACCAAAATTTAAGTCCCTATACACCTATGATTAGAATTCTGGAATCTCTTGTCCATTATCACTCTCTTAGTGCTGTCAATTTAGAAATATTTAACATTAGAAAACTAAAAGTTTAAATGCCTCATCAAAGAGACTGAGTGTTTGGGTCATTTCACCCCTTCTGAAGACAGGAAAAGGTCTCACCCAGTCTCCATTACAAGTGGAAGAAATGAATTGCATTTTTTTTTCTTCAGCAATGACCACAGCCTGGGTGACAAATAAGGAAATGCAGGAATACCGATATACAAAGAAGTTACACTTTTGAGCATCCAATGGAGCCCACTAGACATGTTTCTGTTATATAAGATTAAAATACAAGTCATTTGCCATACTAAGAAGCCTCTAAAAAATTTGAATGTTTTTTAGAAAAAAAATCTTAGCAAACTGACAAACCTTCTTTCTCCTCCATTCTTTTTTAAAACTTCCCTTTCCCTCTCTTCACCCTCCATACCATACACACTCGCCCCTACACACACACACACACACACACACACACACACACACATACACACACACATTCAATTACACATATACTTAATCTATGGATGAAATAAACCAGAATTCCAATGAATGAATCCTCAGCTTTCAATGTAAAATATTTAAGAGATACCTGAACATCACTAATTCTACAAAACTTCTATCAACAGTAAAGACATCCTTCACTTTTCCTCCTCAAATTTGTGTACAAAGTCACAAAATCCATTTAACTTATTTCCTCACCATCATCAGGGGACTGGTAAATAATGATATACTAATACAATCTGGGTAAGATTATCTCTGTAATACTAAAGGTTAACCTTCAGTTTTCCAGATAATGCTCCATTCCTTTTACCTTCCTTCCTTAATGGCATTTAAAGTCACATTGTTGATTTCTAGAGCCAACAATGCTCAGGTGTGTCCACAATTGCACATTAATGCAAAAGATAAGCCCAAATCAGCACCAAACTTTGAGAGCTCAAGAGTAAATCTACATATAAATTATGGCCGGTCTAGCATGGAAAGAGAAAGGGAATACTAAGAAGCCTACAAGGTAGAAACACTTGTATTGTTTGCAGCAAAATATAGTGGTTGTTCTTAGCTCCCCACCTAGACTAAGAACTTTGTAAGGGAAGCATCTACCTTTTATATTTATTTGGGATCCTCATGGTACCTGTCGCACAATTGAGCATACAGTAGAAACAATGCTGATCAATTTGTTCTAATACCAAGGTTATAAACTTCAAAGTGTGATGGAGTTCTGTGAGGGAAGTTCTGACTCCCCTAAAATGGCATTGCTAGTTAGCCCTAAAACTGTACTGCAGCTAATGAAAGGAACAGAATGGGTTTATCACAAGGTATATCCGCAGAGGAACCTAAAGTATACTGATCTTTGACTCCAATATGAAGAGTAAGAATGTAATATATGTTCAGGAAAGAGATATTATCCTGATTTGAAATGATTTGTTTATTTGTCTGTCTCTAGGTAAGCTCCCTGAAGTTAAAGATCAAGTGTTTTATTTTTATATCCTAGGCAAGTAGTACAGTGCCTGGCATATTATTATATAAGTATGCAATAAATGCTACTAGGTTGAATTAATAAAAAAATTGTTTAATGAAATAACAATGGTTTCATGAAAAAATAAGTGTCATAAGATCTAATAGAGACTTCCATAGACTCTTATCTTTATCACATTGTAGTACTTATCACTCTGTAATGTGTTTGATTCTTAAATTAATCCATTAATTAATAAAGAAAATGTAGGAAATACATCAGTGTATTACTATCCTAGGAAAGGCGAATATCCATTTTAACCAATAGTAGCATTTATCACTCCATGCAAATCACCTATTTGTTTGCTTGCTTCCCCAATTTGAATGTGCATCCCTTGATATCAGAGACCATCTTTTTTATTTCTCAAACACTGGACCCTAAAGAAGACCCTTACAGGGAGTACACATTCAAAAAATATTAGTTGTATGTATAAATCAAACATTCCTACTCATCTATAGAGTTCACTGTACCTCAAGTATTCTACCTAATCCACATTGAGGAGCCTCTAGTATGAGAAGAAAAAGAGAAGTGCCATTTTCCTTATGTGGGACTTTGTGACATATTCAGGTTAAATTGACTAATTCATGCATGGCTGTATGTGGGTCTATCCCCTTTCAGAATGGGTTTGTCATATGTTAGAAATATACACTTAACCACACTGTGTTTAGTACACACTGTCTTGGCCCTGACTAGCCCTAGATACTATATCTATGTGATTTTGTTAAAAAAAGGAGAACATCTAGCTTTATAGTCAGGGTTAGGATCATAATTCAGATTTTCAATGGCTTTTCTAAATAATTAGAGCAATACTGTTTAATCCTGCCATAGGATAATTTTGAAAAGAACACCAAGACTTTAGATAAACCATGCAGACATTGTCATATGTCTCCTGCCCCTTCCATGTATCTCATAGACAACTAGGCTCACATTTCTCTAGAACCTTGAATTGATTGCATAAGTAATCACCAAGCCCTCAGGATTCTGTCTTTTGTACATCTCCACAAGCAATAAGAGCAGCACTCGAACCCATAACTTTTTACCTCTATTGCTTATATATATCCAATATCAATACTCTAACCACACCACCTTGTAGGTATTACCTATATAGAACCAGCCTAAATTCCTCTTTGGTTACAAGTGCCTAGGGAGTCACACTTAGTTGTACAGACTATTGCAACAGTGATTCTCCAATTATCGTCCTATTTAAAAGACACCTATGTGTCAGATCCTTTACATTGTGCAACATCATATTTTCCATGGACCAACCTTGTGTGGTAGATGTGCCCATTTTGTAGATGAGAAAACAGAGACTCAGAGGGATTCCATAGCAAGAGGTGTCCCCCAGATTCAAAATCATGGTCTATCTTATTCCACTCAAAGCACCATCTCTCCCTCTCTATTGCTGCCATTTTGTATGCATCATAGTCTAGGTATGTCAGGCTGAATTATTTCTGAAGCAGGAAGGTGTCACTGAAAGAACATTCACAGAGCTGCTCTGTGAGTGAGTCTGAACAAATTCCATAACATCACTGGATCTCCATTTTATCATCTATTGAAGGGCAATGTATCAAGACCCTAACTGCAAGAATTAAAGGAGACAGTGGTTGAGAAGGTGCTTTATTAAATGTGGAAGTACCCTCCAAGTGAGCAGTATTCCAAGTATGCAGTATGGTGTTGCATTAGTGGCCTGGAAGAGGGCATATGCCTCCCAGTGCATCAAATTTTCAACCAAAGAGGGACTTAAGCAATTCATAGAAAAATAAAATCAACTTTAGAACTGTATTTATAGTTTTTCACCCAGTCACACACCCACCATCATCCACATTTCCAGCCTCTTACCCTGAGATATTTCCATAGATGTCAAACATTAGACCATATAGTGTTTTTTAAAGAATGCTTCCATTTTTAAACATTCATTCTCAGTAGAGATAAACAGCTAATTCAAATGCATGGTTAATCCCTGAAATTTTCATTATTAGTGACAGTTTTAAGCTCCTAGTTTGTCAAACATCACCATAAGACCTACCAAGAAATGACAAAGTGGCTTTTTAAATTTTTTGCTAGCCTTCTTTTTACCATCCCATCCATATTTTTTGCAAAGCAAGCATATGACCAAAGAAGGAGGCTGAATCACCCTCACCCTGGGAAATTGGTTTCTGAGCATTTCATTGTTAATCTGTCTTTAACACTACTTGACTCTTTCTTTGCCGCTTTAACTAGCTGGCAAACATGCCCTATTTGAAACAGGTGGAACAAACTCATATTATGCCTGAATACTAGGTATTTCAAAGGTGCAGCCCCCTTGAGTTCCCACTCCCAAAACCCACCCCTATATAAAGGCCCAATATGTTGAGTTACCCTTTGTCCCAAGAAACACCGGTAGCAGACCTTGATTATGGAAACCGGCTTAGGCAGAGAAGCCCTTTCTATTCCTGCCAGAGAAGGTGTCAGTGTAGGGACCTATGGGAAAAACTTTGGGTAAACCTCACAGTGCCATTTAGATGCACTCACCTCAGGCAGAGGCACACCATTGATGATCAGGTCTGGCTGCTGGGGGCCCTGGCTGTTGAAAGAGTGATGATAGATGTGGTTGGCACTGGTATTGCGGGTATTCTGGTTCTCCACATTCAGGAAAGTGCTCTCAGAGCGGCGGCAGCCCAGGGGCAGTGTCTGCTGGTGGTAGTCCAAATAGTTGAGGGACGAGGTCAGGGAGGAGCAACTGACAACGTTCATCTTGTCTGTCTCCTCCACATCCCGGGGTACAAGGCGAATGTCATTCTTACTGATTTTTTTCTTCTTGCTTGATTTCTTTTGATGCCCATAGGAGTACTCAGCGATTCTATGTGACAGAAAAGGCAGGATGTATCGCTAACGCCCTCCCAAACCATGCATTGATTAATAAACATTAAGCACCCCAGAAGTTGCACCCATCTCTGCTCCAGCTTCTTATTTGGGTGCATTACATCATCGGGTTCCTCCCTGTGCTCTTTACATTGGAAAACAAGCTGAGTGCCATAAAGTTTCTTATTAAAAATAATAACTGCCCACACCCCCTCCCCCCGCAAAAAAAAATCTGTACTTTGGATTTGGAATTTTTTCATTGAGAGTGGCCATTTAGCAAGGATGGGGGATGGGAAAGTTGAAGCTATGGGAGCAAAAGCATGAAAATGCTCAAATCTGAAGCTTCCCTGGAAGCCAAAATCACTCCTGGGTGAAAGAAGAAGCAAGTCTTAATTAAACTGAAAAAGAGGTAGAAGGAAATATAAAATAACCCTCTTTCCAGTTCCTCCAGACATTTTCCATGTGGCCAAGACCCTCAATCAGGTTCCTCAAGCTCAGTGAACGTGTCCCCATTGACCTGATGAGTTTAGGACTGGGGTAGGAAAACAGACCCTGTGTTAACACATTCTTGGCTCCTCTCTTCCACACCCTCCTTCCTTTGGCCATAGCCCTGCTCCTTTCCACTCCCCTCCCCATCCCACCTCTCCAGGCAAAATCTGATAGCCAAACCCATTTGAATGAGGGGAAATGCCTCTTTACCTCTTTCCCCTTAGGCTCACTTTCTCCTCAGCCTTTTTGTCTTGCTCCTCGCTAATGGGAGAAATTGAGATGCAATGCTGACACTTGCTGTTTTGTCCTTTTATAAAACAGCCCAGGAGACAAGTGATGGTTAAACAATTACTGCAAAGGAATTTAAAGGTTAGTGCATTCAGCATCCTTCTCCATTCAGGTGTACCTACAAGCAGCTGTGCTGCAACTGGAACATAAAGAGCTCAATTTAATTAACACTGACAGACCCAGCAACGTGCACCAAAGACACCAAGCATTAAGACTTTTCAAAAGAAATACAATAAAATGTAGCAAAATTATCAAAGTCACTTATTATTTTGCACACAATGATTCAGCCTATTGTTGGAAATTCAATTTCTGTGCAATAATCAGCAAAATAATAGGGTTAATAAATAATACAGGTTGATTTTTGCAAGGGAAAGACGGTGTCTGTATTTTCACTGGACAAAGCTGATTGTCTGAATACAAAAAGAGAGCCCAATTCAAGTAGTAATTGCAGATCATCTCACAAGTCTCATAAACAGTGCATTTGAGGAGGAGGCTCTGCAGATCCTGAGAACAAGAAACCTCTGCCTAATACATGGAAAGACAAGCTCTTCAACTTTTGTTTTCTAAAAAGTCTGAGCACATAGGGAGATTACATATCTCCAGAGGCAAATTCTTGCTCTGTCCCTGTGATTTTCAAGAGTTAAGCAGTTGTGTTCCCCTCACCCTTTGGATCAGTATTTAAGCTGGCTTGCAGTGATAGCAAGCTGATGCTACTGGGGTTTGGGAGCAGATAAAATCCCCCAAAACCCCAGGATGAGGGTTGATTTTCTTTTCTAATCTGTTTACTGAATCAATGGTAAGTTCTAATCATTTTGTTTACCCATGATGGGTAAGTTTGGCAATGCCTTGCCCAATTATTTAGCTGAGGCATTCATTGGGAAGCATTGTCTGTATTGAGCAATTATTTAATTAAACTGTACTTGATTAATCCCAAACCATCACAGGGAACAGTGGTCTTTACAAAATTCACATGTGGGTAAAGTTGGAGAGCACTGAGACTTTTTTTTTTTCAATTCAAATGCTCTCTTCCCTGTTTAATGATTTTCCTGGCAACCTCTAGGAAAGAACTCTCACTTCTAGCCGTACATCACCAAGAAGTGGCAAAGCCTTCAATATCTTTATCACAAACTGATTTCTTTTTCATCAAGGAAAGGGTCCTATGCATTTACTTTATGCTCAGAAAATGACTTAAAAAGAGCCTCCTCTATCATTATTTCTATATAAATAACATTTTATAAACCCTGCATTTTTCCCCTATAAAAATCACCACTGGCCCTTGCAGGTTTCAAAGGTAGAAGAGCAATATTAATTTCCATGTCTCCCATCTGAAATGACAGAGCTGAAAAAAAGAAAAGTCATGGCCATTTCAGTAGTAACAGGATTAAAGCATTTATGAGGCATTGCAGCTGCTCTTTTGTGGCACCTGATTGATATTCATGTGTGGTTAGCATTTGTCTACTAACTTGTGTAATGCAGAGAATAGTAAAAGGGAAACAATAATTGCATGGCTGTTACATATTCAGGGGACGCTAATTCAGAGAAGTGTGCATTTCAGATCATGTAAAATACAAATCAGACCTATTTTGACTGATTAGCATGCAAGCACAGATGGCACAAAAGACACACTGGGTATGTAGGTGTGTTGAAAGCGCACATACACCTTGGTTAGAAATAGCAATATCATTCATTTTCAGAAAACTAAACAATTTTTTCAACCATTTCGATGAGACACTGCTGGAAAAAATTACATGTATTATCCTAAATTGGATTCTATAAATACTTAGATTTGTTCTATCCAACTGTAAGGAAAGGCTTCAGCAAGACCTTCTAATGTGCTTATTACAAAATATTAAAAAAAAACAGTATGTGTTATTCCAATTTCCATATTTCTTCTCTCTCTCTCTCTCTCTCTCACTCTCTCTCTCTCTCTCTCTCTTTCTCTCTCTCTCTCATAACCCCCCCCACACACACACACACATCCTGATCACACTTCAAAGGAGGCTGAAACATAATAGTCCATAGTGACATCCACTGGTAGGAAGCAGATCTTAATACAACACATTAGAGGAAAGCACCATCAACTCCAGAAGTTTGCTATTTTTTACAAAAACATCTGGATGCAAAGTCCTGTCCCTCATTGGAATGTTTGGTCTATACCCCACCAACCAACCAGATATTTAAAAACATACACATGACTACTAGACTTTCACTTTGCATAACCAGATGTTTGGGAACTGGATACAAAACAAGCCAAGAAAACACTAAAAAAAAAAAAAAAAAAAAAAAAAAAAAAAAAAAAAAAAAAAAAAAAAAAAAAAAAAACACTAATCACTTGCTTCCCCACCCATTCCTGTTCCCTCTTCTCCCCAACTCTCCATTTGGTACCTCACATTTCCACTCACACACTTTCTTAACACTTTATTTCTACAAAGTGACAGGGCAGCTATCAGCACTCCCCCTCCTTTCAGTACCTGTCCCCAAAACACTGTGCCTCTGAAATAAAGTTATAGTACTTGCTTGGTCTGCTGAAAATCTCTCTCTCTCTCTCTCTCTCTCTCTCTCTCTCTCTCTCCCTCCCTCCCTCCCTCCCTCCCTCCTTCCTCCCCTCCCTCCCTCCCCTCCCACCCCATTTTTTTTTCTGCCTCAACTTCATGGAGACAGCTGTACAAATTTTAAAATGATAATTGATATGCTGCTCATCATCATTATATGACAGAATCCATTGAGCAGTATATTATTATCTTCCAGCAAATTGTCAGATCAAAAGAATTGATCAAGGCGGACTGCCACAAACTCCTCCCTCCCCCTTCCCACCCCCCTTCCCCCCAAAAAGAAGCTCTGTAGGTACCAAGCATGCATTTAAGTAGGAAACAAAGGCACTGGGATTTTCACAAAGCAACACGGATACACCTTTTTCACCCAAGACAAAAAAAGGAAAGAAAGAAAAGTTGGCTTTACCTGCAGTTGTAGGTCCGGATCTCTTTGTTGTCTCGCTTGCACTTGATCGCCACGAAGATCATAGTGATAAAGAGGATGCCAGCAATGGAGCCCAGAGCGATAATGAAAATCAGGGACAAGTTCACTGAGCCCATTGACTCTTGGGCGTCCAAAGCAGGAGACAGGTAGATTAGGATGAGAGCAGAGGCGGAGAGAGATGTCTTGCCATGGTCGTGGGCCACCACAATAAGTTCATAGGAACCCTTGGAAGTCTCGCTGAATGTGCGAGTGGTTCTCACTTCACCATTGACTTCGTCGATTTCAAAGAAGCCACGATCTCCCTCGGTCATGTCATAGGTGACCCGGCCGTTTTCGCCCTCGTCATAGTCCTCTGCTTTCACTACAGTCACCAGATAGCCTATGCCGGAGTTGCGGGGGATGTAGACTTCAGCCGTGCCATTGATCAGTGGCGGGGCCATGATGACTGGGGTATTATCATTGACATCTAGGATGATGACCCTAACCGTGGCGTTACTCTGTAGGGAGGGCAAGCCACCATCCTTGGCCAGCACCTTGAATTCGAATGCCTTGGTCTGCTCGTGGTTGAAGGATCGCAGCGCATAGATGTCACCGGAGTTGGGGTTGATGGAGACATAGGTGAAGACAGGCATGTCCCGCACCTGCGATGGCACTATCTGGTAGGAGACACTACCGTTGAGACCTAGGTCGGGGTCTCGGGCAGACACAGAGAGAAGATAGGCCCCAGGAGTGTTGTTCTCCTGCACAATAACCTGGTAATAGGGCTTGGAGAAGTGCGGGTGGTTGTCGTTCTCATCAGTGATTTGCACAGTAAAGGACTTGGCACTCTGCAGCATGGGCACACCGCCGTCGCGCGCCTGGATTGTGAGGTTGTACTGATCATGCTGCTCACGGTCCAGCCGTCCATCCACGAGGATAGTGGAGAAGCTCTCATACTCTTGCAGCCTAAAAGGCACATTGCCCAGCAAACGGCACTGCACTCGCCCATTGAGGCCCGAATCTCGGTCAGACACCCTCACCAGTGCAATCACGTAGCCTGGAGGGGCGCTCTCGCTCACCTCCACCAGCTCGCTGTTAACTGACAGCAGGTTGATGACCGGCGGGTTGTCATTGGTGTCCAGAATGCTGACAGTGACCTTGCAGTGTGCCGGGATAGAGTTGGGCCCCAGGTCCTTGGCCTGAACGTCCAGTTCGTACACGTGGCCCTCTTCGTAGTCTAGGGCACCGGTGACCGTGACGAGGCCACTGTGTGGATCAATCTGGAAGAGCTCACGAGTGTGGTCATTGACATAGCCATAGAAAGAGTAGACCACCTGTCCATTGGTGCCTTCATCTGGGTCGCTGGCATTGAGGCGGATGACAGGAGTGTTTGGAGGTGAGTTTTCTGGCACACTCACTGAATAGGTGGACTCGCCAAACACCGGGTTATTGTCATTAGAGTCGGTCACCTTAATGCTGAGGCCAACAGTGCCCAGGTGCGGCGGGTCGCCGCCGTCCAGAGCAGTGATTCGAAAGCTGTAGTGCGACTGCGTCTCACGATCCAGGTTCTTCTCCACCACGAGTTCAGCAAAGCGCGAGCCATCACCACGCGTCTTGATCTCCAGGCCGAACAGCTCATTAGGTGTGAGCTCGTAGGTCTGCACACCGAAAGTGCCAGAGTCCGGGTCGTAGGCGCTGTCCAGAGGGATGCGAGTACCTGGGCTGGCCGCCTCTGAAATCTCCAGCTCGATCTGTGCCGTGGGGAAGCTGGGCGCATTGTCGTTCAGGTCCTTGATCTCCACCTTAATCACGCAGATCTCCATTGAGCTGGACATGACCTCAAGTGAGATAATGCATTTGGGGCTCTGGCGGCACAGCAGGTCTCGGTCGATCTTCTGCTTGGTGACCAACAGTCCTGAGCTGGGGTTGATGTCCACCAAGTGCGGAGCCGAGTTGGACACCACACGGAAGGCAGAGGCCTGTCGCGGGTCCAGCGCAAAGCCCGCCTCGCGGGCGTCCTTGGCCACGTTGGCGATCACCGTCCCGGCGCGCTGCTCTTCTTCTACGGAGTACTTTAGGTTAATGAGGGCGGCTGCTTGAGTCCATAGTACGGCCAACAGCAGCAGCACCGGCAGCAGGAGTGACTCCATAGCTGCGCGGGGCTCTGCCTGGCCTCGCCTCTCCACACCCCTCCGAGGACGGCGCCGCCGGCGCTCCAGCTTTCCGCTGACTTGGGCCGCCTGTTGCGCGCGCCCCGGGGCCCTGGAGGCCTCGGGAGGAGTCCCACCCAGGGCGGCCCGGCGGCGCGCGGGTGATACCCGCGCAGGCTCCAATGCTGAGGTTTCGGTGGACTGGGCGGGGGCTTGCGGGGGGCCCGGGGGCTCCAGGGGGCCGAGGGAGCACCTCGCGGCCCCGAGCCCCCACCCTCCAGCCCGGCTACTCAGTTTTCCCCCTTCAGAGTTAGCCGGGCGCGACTGGCCGCTACGGCTCAGGGCGGCGGGTCGGACGGCGTTGGAGTGGCCGGGTTGACGCGCGATTAAGTCTGGACCGCTCTTGGAGCCAAGGCAGGGAAGGCAGTAGGGATGCAGGGTGTCAGGCACTGCCCGGCCCGCCGCAGCGCACCGGCACTGGGACTGGCGAGCTCCTGGTCTGTGCACCTGGCATACGTTAAGAACCTCCCCCCAGCGCTCCCGGCTCACTGAGAGAATGGATCAGCCTGGAACGCGTCTTCCGGGGTCTGGGAGGGAGCCACACTAGCCTTTTCGAGGCAGGCTTGGAACAAGGGGGATCACAGGTGGGAGTTTGAGATGTGTCAAGAGCCGCCGGCGCCCAGGTACCTGGCTGAGTCGGATAGCAGTCCCAGAGTCAGCAAGGGAGGGTAGATAGTAGAGAGGCTGCTGAGAGGAGAGCACGCTCCGCGGTGCAGAGGTTGGCCTTGGAAGACTGGGGGGAGCGTCTGTCCAGAATCAGAGGTGGATGCAGAGCTCCCACCACAAAACAGTTGGACTGCGGGCGTTGCGTCTCAGATATCAAAGTTACTAACACACAAGCTTCCACGTCAAGTTTGTGAAAACCGGGCGTTGGTAATTTGTCCAAAAAATCAAAGTCCCAGTCTTTCCAATTGCCCAATGGGGGCGGGGAATGGGGAGGAGGGAAGGGGGATCGACAACAGTACCGGCCAAGAGAGGCGGGGCAGCCGCTGCGGGTTACCGGGGGTTTCTCTTCCTCCCTGGGTCTGGGCTGGGCTGTCGCTCCAAGGGCCGCCGCCGCCGCCGCCGCCGCCGCCGCCTCCGCCGCCGTCGCCGCCACAGAAGGAAGCCCTCCTAGCTCAGTGGCATGTCGCTGGGGTTCGCCTCAGCATCTGCCAAGGTCGACGGTTTTGTAGCCGCCGAAGTTTACTTGCATGAGAGTCTTGATTCCATCTTCCCAAGAGAGGCGCTGGCCCCTCTGCGCTGGGCTCCTTCCCTCTCGGGCGCTCTCGCACTCAGAAGATCTGTCTGGCTTTCTCTTCCTTTCTCAGGTGGTGTTGTAATGTGCGAGGAGAGGGAGAGTGAGTGTGTGGTGTGGGGAGTGTGAGTGTGGAGTGTGAGCAAGCAGGAGTGGGAGGTTTCGTATCTCAGATGAATCCGTTCAGCTGGAATGCCACAGAAAGCAATGCGCCACGAGCCAGCGCTGGGCTAGGGGCACGGGTGCCAGTGCCCCCCGGGCAAGCCCGGCATGGTGTGCAGGAGCTTTGCTGCCCTCTGAGCCCACTAGTCTGTCTTCCCTACGCACCCGCTGCCGCCGCTACTGCTGCTGCTGCTTCCGATGATGCCGCAAACTACTGGCCAGGGAGTCTGGAGAGAGGCTGAGAGAGCCGGAGCTGCCGAGCTGGGCTACGCCAGGCTCTGACCAATCAGCGCACAGCCCAGCGGGCTCCGGAATTGGGGCGGGGCCATGGCGCGGGGGCCAGGGCTGGGCGGGGCCAGCAGGAAACTTCCACACTGAAAAGACCAAGTGGTATCCCGGCCCGCAGAACCCAGGCGGGAATCAGGGGAGGCCTGGCGGGCTGGCCAGGTTGGGGTAAGAGGACAGGGAGGAGCGGGGCATGCTAGCGCTGGGCCAAACCCTCCCAAGAACTGCGCACCTCTTCTGAGTGTAGAAATTGCAGGATGAGGGGGATTTGATTCTCTGGGCGTCTTTATCTCCCTCACATATCTTCATATCTTGAATATCATATTTATATTTCTTTTTCTCTCCCTCTCCCCTGCCATCTTCCTCCCTTCCTCTTTGTCTCATCGTTCTGGGTTTGTCTGCTTCTTTATCTTCCTCTCTTTTCCTTTCTCGGGTAGTGGAAGGAAAAAAAGGAGAAAGCTCCCTTGAGGTGGCCATTCAGCCGGCTCTTGGCCGATAAGTCTTCACTTCAATTGAGAATCAGGGAAGCCATCGTCCCCGACCCTCAACCCCATCCCTCCTCCCAGGACAGACGCAGCACTTCCCCCACCCCAGTAGGACCCGTGGCCCGATTTGGTTCGCTTTTGTCCTTTGCTTGTTAATCAGATGGGTTCCTTGGTATAGGGACTGAGCCTCGAAAAGAGCTTGACACATTTCGTTGCCCCTCACCACACCCTGTTGGAGAATTTAGCTCCCTATAAATAAACTGTATGTTTGAGAAGAGCGGGTAGAGCCATCGCCGCAGCGCCACACCAGTGAAGCCCAGAGCCGAGTGGGAGCTGCGGAGCTGGCGCGCGATCTGCCTAGGTCGCCCGCAGTTGGAATCGGCGCTGCTGTGCGGGGCGCCCCAGCCTTCCCACGGGGACCTCGGTCCCAGCGAGCTGCCAGCTCCGCTCGGGCGGTCACGGTGACAGCTAATGCAGGGTTTACGAGAGCTGGGAAGCGAGAGGCTGGCGTGGCTCGGCTGACATCAAACTCCATTTGCCTTCCGGACTGAAAGAGTCTTGGGGTCAGAGGGGGACTCCTCTCCACTTGGTTCTGAGGCTCTTAATTAAGGTCACTGGAGGGGAAAATAAAAATCAGGTTGAATAAGTTGTTTATTTGTTTCTTTAAAATCATAAATTGGTGGTGGAAGGGACCGGCTTCTAAATTCACAATTCTTAGAAGGGTAAATCTCCCTTCTGAGTGAGTCCTCTCGTATATTTGGGAGTCTCCGGTAAGCAAACTCTTAATTAACCCAGCGACATTGTCCCGAACCTGTGAGCTTAAAATGAGACTCACTTTGCCCTTAAAAGAAAATTAAACAAGAAAAGAAAAAAGGCGTTTAGGCACAATAGGTTTTCTCAAAACTGCCATCTTCTTACAAAGAGCACCCCAGCTGCTTAAAAAAAAAATTTATCCGTCCAAGAGGCACTAGTTTACCAGCCTTTACCCTTACAGAGGGAGGGAAAGACAAATTCTTCCCACTGAGAGAGATTATCAGGAATAAGTTTGATTTGGCGGAGACCTAGGGAAAGGTGCAAGGTGCCTAGTCTGCTTTCCTTGTGGAGAGCGTTTCACTCTTTTCCATTAGGATGCAATTTACCCCAGAACATCACGGGGAAAATCAAAGCATCTGCAATGAGTATCATTTAATTTTGGTAATTTAGAGATGCGGATGGACAGGCAGAGTTGTGGCTGGAGGATGTCTGGTGCCCGGTCCGGTTTTCTGCAGACCCTGTTGGAAAAAATGGGAAAGTAGTGGAGGAGAGTGACAACATGGCAGGCAGCAAGGGCGCACCTAGCAGACTTCACAAAGAGAAGGGCTCCCTTTGATTTATCACAGTTATTTACCTTTCATGTCAGCAAGTGGGAATGAAGTGCATTTTGTTCTAATTAAAAAGGCCTAAAAAGGCATTTGAAATGGGTTTGCTATCTGATCACG